GTGGGCAGAGCCAGTTTGGGTATGGATCTCAGCTCCAGCTCTTCCTGGCATGTGACTTTAGGCCAAAAGTTGACTCCTTTAAGCCCCAGTTCTCCCATCTGTGAAACAGGAAATGATGATGATGGCATCTGGTCCACAGGGTTATGGTGAGGATTAAATAAAACAGCACACGTGACATCCTTAGCATGGTTCCTGGCACATAGCAGATGCTCAATAAACTATCATTATCACTACTATTTCCATTATCCAGGAAGAACTGGGGGCGCTGAGAATCAGGACTTTGTGAGGAGTCTCCATCGACACCTCAGTAAGCAAGTCTTACAGCACCAAGATTAACCTTTCCATTTCACAGATGAGAACATCAAGGCCAGAGGAGAGGCAGGAACTGGCCCCAGGTCTCGCTGGGAGCAAGTGTGGGAATGGCTGACTGCTGAGACCTCAGGCTTTCTTCGCAATGCTTCCCCTTCAGAACCATGGTGTTCTTTTCCTTCCTCTCCTCCACCTCCACCCACCCCTGCATCCCCCCCGCCGCCTCCCTCCCCAGCCTCTGGGCCCACCATGGATGTTGGCACGTGGTTGTAGTACCCAGGCTCCCTGGCATTCCTTTCACAGAGCTGAGGCCAGGGAGGTGAAGGTAGGCCTGAGGCAAGCCTCTGAGTGTGTGGGAATGAGCCCCCCACCCCAGGAATCGGGCCTGGCTGTTGCTGCTTGTTTGCTCAGGACCCTTTGGCAGTCGTCCACGATCAGAGAGAGGTAAGGCAGCCAAGACAAGACAGACACTAATTACCTTGGGTAGTAGGAAATTGGGGAGTGGCAATAAGAAGGGTGTCTAGGCCTGTGGCCAGGCAGGGGCAGGGACTGCGGATGCCCAGCGTGGCCCGACTCAGCCACTCTGAGTAGATATTCCTGCTCAGGGTCAGCTCCGGGCTCCAGCAACCCAAGGGGACGGGAGCTGCTGCACTGGCAGACCTTTCGGGGACCCCCTCTCTGCTGCTCTTTGTTTGTTTTCATTCAAAGGCAAAACAAATGAAGCAAACAAGGAAATTCAATTTAAACAGGGCTCAAGAGCTGATGTTTCTGTTTTGTTACACCGGGGTGATCTTAGGACACACTGTTGACTTTCACTCCTTCAACTGGTCTCAGCTGTGTGTTGCTGTATAAAATTACATGGATGGAGGGCCTACCTTCCTAGGTGGGGTAGGGAGAGGAAGTCGGGGTACAGGGGGGGTCAGATTCAGAGGTGGGAACCAAAAGTCAAGAAAAAGGACAGAGAAACTGAGCTATGTACACAGAAAAGAGTCGAACAGATTAGCAAAGAAAAAGGCAAATAAGGAGTGCTTAGTAGAATGGCAGACAGAGAAACACAGCGAACCATGCTGAAAATACATACATAGAGAAAGACTATAAGGCAAGGAGAGATGGACAGAGACACAGAGAGGCACGGTAGGGCAAAATGAAAAGTGAGAGAGGCACAGTAGTCAGAAGGGCACGAGCCCAGGAGGAAGAGGAGAAAAAGGATGAGAAGCAATCCTGCGGCAAAAGTCTGCATCCCCAGAACTCTCATCTAATGCACCTTCATTTTGAAAATACTGAAATTGCAGAGAAAGGAAAGAACATGAAAGTTTAACCCAAGAGGTTGGATGTAACCCTGGACTTCCTGCCTGAGAGATTGGTCCCCCACACCTGTGTCACCCGAATCCTCCCATCTCACCTTCTGGCAGCATGGATGGGGGTTTAGTGCCTGACAGTGCTTCATTAAACCTTGGGGGGTCTACATCATGCTCTTTTTTCATCCTATTTCTCCCCAGAGGATCCTGGATGGTCATTCTTTCCAGGGCTAGTAGGATCCCAACCTGCCTCACAGGCTATAGCTCCTCTAGGCTTGTCCCTGGGAGAAAGAGACACTGATAACTGGCAATTGAGTCAAGGAAAATGAAGCAGGAAGAAGAAAAAAGTAACTAGCATACCCTGCAGGCCTCCTAAATACCAACAGGCCTTCTGGAAGACCCTGTGCATGGAGTTACTCACTTAACGTTCTTCCCTATAGCCTAATGAGACAGGCACGGTTGACAGTTCTCTTTTTCCAGAGGAAGAAAGTGTTACATAGGGCAGTGACAAAAGAAAATTTCCTGCGGTCAGGTTTTGAATATGGGGCAGATCCACGATTTGCACCCAGCTCAGCATGTTCCCAAAGCCTGTGCTCTTTCCATTGCCACACACTGTCTTTTTGGCCCAAGAGGAAGAAAACTAATTTTGGTAAGGCATGAACAAGCAGAAAATGAGAAACTCCAAGAACTGACACTAGAACTATTTTAAAACTTGAGACCGAGTCGGTCAGACTTCAGGAGAGGAGAGCCGCCAATGGGCTATGAGGCTGGTCCAAACAACACCCTGGCTCCTTGTCAGAGCATCCCAGAGCCCAGGGCCATTGACAGAACCGATTTCAAAAGTAAAAATACAGACGTGTTCAGAGTCAGGGATGACAAGCTCATGATAAGCACATTTTCAGCACAGAAGAAGAAAGGATACTCCTACCTCAAGAGAAGGCAAGGAGGTAGGGGGTGCCAGGCAGGGAGGAAAAGAAGAGGCGAGGGGAAATGATGTCACTGCTAAAGGATGTCAGTTGATTTGTCAGCTCTCAGTGTTCATTGCTTTGGGGTTCCATAAAACAGGTCATTGCTCTCTATATAACAGGCCTATTGGGTTCCAGCCTGGCTAATGCCAAGCCCCCAGAACATCACCCAGAGACAGAATTGCTAGCTGTGTCTCAATAAATAGGAACCACCTGCCAGGGCTCTTGCCCCTCTCTACTAGATGCTCTCTCTCCCAACGTTTGGAGAATGGAGGGGAGAAGTTGAAATTAATTATTACAACAAGAGCAAGAGTTTTAACAGCTAATACTTCCAATGCGCCTTCTGGGAGCTCACCAGAAAGTGGGGAGCTTTTGTGCATCAGCTCATCAAATCTTCTTGGGGTCCCAGTGGGCTGGACACTGGTATTATTTGTGTATTCACAGAGGGGGAAATGGAGACCCAGAAAGTTGAAAAGCTCACTTAATTGACGCAGCTGATAAGTCTGGGGAAGAGATCTGAACTCAGATCTGTCTGCCTCCAGTCTATGCCCTGAAAGAGGGACAGAGAAACCAGAAGCAGCCATCAGGAAATCTTTTAAAAACTGTGCTTTCTTCATGTAATCATAGTTTTTAGACTTGGAGAGGACCTTATCGCTCTTAATCTAATCACATACTTGCATTTCATAGATGCAGTGACCCTAAAGCCCAGGGTGTGGGTGTCAGCGCTTAATGATTAAGAGGCTGTAGAGTCATGCTATCAAGATCTAGATCCCAGGTCACCACTTAAGGCCTGAGGCAAATGCTAGGTCTCCCGTGAAGTTAGTCCCGATGTCTCACTGGAAGAGAGCTGATAGCCTGTTGTACTCTGGAGATTCCATTCCTAGAGCTTTTGCCGTCCCCGGTTGATTTTGCCATTCTGTATAAAATAAAATATGGGCCTCAACATCTAAGAGGCAGTGGGTGTCAAAGCTGGGGTCAGATGGCCTGATTTCCCGCTTACAGTGGTATTTCTGAGTTCGGCGCACAAACTCACTGGATGTTACCAATGAGCCTGATATGTGAGATGTTCAGAAGAGCACAGAGGTCCTTAGGAGAGTCATGGTCTTCTAGAGGAAGTGGGGATGGGATGCATCTTGGAGGTGAGGGACACTCACAGACTGTGGAGGGACAAATATTTATTGAGTATATACTTAGCTACTGTGCTAGGGTGTTTCTTGTTTAATTCTCATGTAACTCGGCAACCTAGGTTTTATTATTTCTGTTTTACTGACACTTACAGAAGAAAGAAACTTACCTAAGGTCACTTAACTAAAAATATCAAAGCCAGATTTGAATCCACAGTCTATGACCTTTCATGCCACCAATAGGGTGTAAGTTACTTGAGGGTGGAAACTCCGTCTTAGTCACATTCATACCTGCATTTCCTAGCACAGCCCTGAGACCTAGGAGATCCTCAGAAAACATCTGCTGAATAAGTAAATGAGTTATGAATGAGTAAATATAAATATGGGTGAATGAAAGAACTGATGAATAAATAAGTGAATGAATAATGGAGTATAAGTGGATGAATAGATAGATGGATGAATGAGATGGATGGATGGACAGATCGATAGAAAGAAGGGATGGGGATGATCGAGTAATTGGGTAGATAGATGGATAACTGAAGAATCTTTGAGTGAATGAGTAAAAAAAATAAAAAAAGAATGAGCTGAGTAACTGGTGAATAATGTTCACCTTGTTAACTGCTGGAAATTTCTAGGTTGGTAAGGGAGGTGGCCTATAGTTTCATAATTAGGCTACATGAAGAGAGTTGGTATCAAGGACTCTATGTTATAGCTTATGATTGTTGCATCCCAATGTGGCCACATTCATTGAGAGGGCAAACAAAAGAAAAATGAGCATCTTTTTCCACTGAGATTAATAGATGGAGTTTCAGAATGCTTTCTTTTGCATATCCAGAAGTTTGGATGCAATGGCTGTATTTTATGAGGGAATGATAATGACACTACTTCTAAGGGACTGGCTGGATCTGTTAATAAAAATTTATATGTATATATATCACATATATACCTTGTATGTATAGATTCTTCAGATGTGCTAAGTTAACATTTTTCAGAGGAGGGATCACAGAATTGAGCAGAGCACGAGGCAGGAACTCCTGTCCTTGCTACCCTGCCACTTCATCCATAGGAGAAATGGTTTTGAGTTTCTGGCCTCCCTGGGCCCTTCAGCACTGATCTTGTATGACCGTGACTCACTGTGGCCACATTTCTCCAATGGACACTCCTAAATCTTAGCAACCCAAGGTGCACACACAGGCTAGCCCATAAAACATTTGGCTGGCCTGGACAGATTACTCATGTCTTGCCTCCCAGACTTAAACTTGGCTTGTCTGCTTCACGCTCCCCACGCACCCAGCATGTCTTACTTGTAGAGGCCGTCGGGCTCCAGACACTTGAAGATGACGGAGTAGATACTGACTTCTGGAACCTCTCCATGGCTTCGACCAGCTGCTACACAAGATGTGCCCAGGCCAGAGAGTAAGTCATCAGCAAAGCTCAGGAATTCTCCTGGAGGGAGACAAAGAAAGATGAGCTCCCCTACTCAGGCCTTGGTGAGCAGACATTCTTGCTGTTGTCCAAACCCACCACATGTCTGGATACCGTTATCAGGAGGACTAGTGGACAGAACAAGCACAGGGTATGAAAATGGCACAGATTAGTATCTAGGCCTGCTGACTCTTTGTTTAAATGTATGCTTGCATTTTCTCAACTGTAAAGTGGGGACACTAACACCTACCTTTACAAGACTGTAGCAAGGTTCAAATGAGGTAAATTATTGTGTGATAAAAATGCATGAAAAAGCAACAAGGGGACAATGCATTCCATCCAGAGTAACACTGTTCTGGTCTTTTAACTGCCATTAACTTCCTCTTGACCTCTTGAGCAAGAAACTTCCTTCTTGGAATTGCATATGCTTGCCTTACATGATGAAGGAGTTGGACTAGGGATGTAAAATAGGTTTCATGTCACACGGTCGCTCTTATGTGCTGATACTAGATCCATGGAGTGTTCTGTTGAGATGGACAAAGACCTGTTCCATCTAAGTGGGAAAGAGACTTCCATGACTGATTAGTGATGAAGGTCATGGGCAGGAAGGAACAGTGGAAGAACAAGCACTCTGAACTTCATGATCTCTAAAGTCAATCCAGCCATCAGGTTTTAGGAAGCAGCTGAAGTTCACTGGAAATAGGATAAGCAAGAAGACCAGACAGAATGACTGAACCTTTGAAATCTTGGGATCTAGCCTTAGCTCTGTTAAGAATTTGCTAGATAGTTTTGGACAACTAAATTCCCACCGACATGCCTTAGTTTTCTCCTATGGAAAGTGAAGGTGCTCAAATCACATGTGCACAAATATTAAGTCATGAGGATAAACATTACAGTACTATTTAAACTAGCAATAATTTAGAATGATTAAATGTTCAATGACATAGAAATAGCAATATCAATTATCATGTAATGTTGCCAAGGAATATTTTCTAACCATTTAAATAATATTGTGGAAGAATATGCAGTTACATGAAAGGATATGCATGACATAGTAAGTTTAAACACAGGTTACCCTATTACAGAATAATCTCATTTGTGGTGGAAATTTCACAAATATATCTAGTTTTACAAGTATATCTAAGGAGTAGGAAGAAAATATAGCAAATGTGTAATAGTGACTTTATAAGGAAAATGAGATAATGGGTACTTTTCTCTCTTATTTTTGCTTATCTCTATTTTTTAAATGATCTACAATGAATATTTGTTTCTTTTGTAACAAGGGGAAAAAAAAGTCAATGAAATTTATTTAAAAATAGATAAAGTAAATGAGCCAGACTAAATAGCCTCTAAATTTCCTTCCAATTCTAAAATTGGGTGACTGAGGAGCAAATAGGCAATGAGGTATATTTTATACACAATATGAAATTATATGAGGCTTCCCATCTGTTGTTTCCTTGTTCTCATTCATGCCTGACATGGAGTGCCTCACACTCTACTCGCTTGTATTCTCAGTAATAAACAAGAGGAGGACATTTGTTCAACAATATCCTCTTTATTTGGGATTAGGGACAACCCAGTATAACAGAACCAGCATAGAACAGTAACGTTGGCTGAGTATCTGAGAAGACTGAGACCCAGAGAAGCCTCATGGCACTTCTTTACCATTCATCGCAAGTGTATCACGTAACACCTGTCTAATCTGAACTGTCTGGATGGTCTCGATGACCTCAGTTCTCTAAGTGCATATGTCCCTACGGTCCAATACAGCAGAGCTGATGAATAGTGTGTTTTGTTTTCCACTTTTTATAAAGACAACATACACAATTCATAGACTTGATGTAGGGATGCCAGAGCAAGTGTCTGAATCGGGTTAATGTCAGTGGCAAGCAAGTCAGTGGCTACTGCCAGACAGACTTGGGACTGAAGTTTACACCATTTATGCAAGTGCCGTAGCCTCTCAGGGTCTCAGTTTTACTTTCTGTAGAAAGGGGTCAAGAACTCCTTTATGTGTTTGGAGTCTAGAAAGAAAGGCTGAGTCTAGGAAGAAATTCTTTGTCTAGAACCAGAGGTTCTGCTGCAAAATGACTAGGAATGAAGCCTTGTTAACACCGCAGGTTTTGGTATCCAGTTCTTCTGTAGGCCTCTGAAGTCAGCTTCTTCCACAGTAAAACCATAAACCAATAATGCATCTCTTCCAATAGGTACCAAAGTGAAGCAATGTATGGGGGAAAATGGAGAAAAGGGAAGAAAACATGTGCGTATTCGCTGGATGCAGAGAGGGCTTTGTTCCTCTTGGCTTCCCAGGATTCCGAGTCTGGCTGCTCACATTTGTTTTCTTTGAACTTGGATCCATGTCTGTCTGCTTTTCAATTTGTTTCCAGATAGCCATTGAAAGAGTTGGCTCTTCATGAGGGAATTCAGTATGCCTGCAGCCTGTATTAATTGCCTGTCTTCAAGCCAAAAGATGGTTGACATTTATTTTCAAATGAGCATAGCCTTCCAGATATTTCCATGCATTTCAGAATAATTTAGACCATGGATAAAAGCCCCATAAACACATCAGGTAGGTAAGATTGGCACAGAGTTCTGAGGTGTATAGTTTAGTTCAGGTGAAGTAATTGGGTAACATGGCCTATATAACTAGTTATATAAAGGACATGAGAAGGATATTTAGTGCCCAGTTCTACTTGGGACTATATATACACGATGACCTTCAAATGAAAAGGATTGAAAAGAAGGAAACTGACATTTAGTACTAACTTTTCTCTTTTCCACTTAATCCTCACGATGTTCAATCCTAATGAGATAAATGTTAGTGTCTCTGTTGTAAAGCTCAGGTTAAGCTCACAAATATACCAAGAACAGAGCTGAGATTTGAACCCATATCCTAACTCCAAAGCCATACCTTTTCTTTTATACTATGCTGCCTCCTAGAGAAAATTTTAAAGTGATAGTGTTAGAAAGTGAGCTTTCTCAATTATGCTCAATTTGCGATTGAATTCATACGAATCTCTTAGCTCTATGGGTTTGGGGAATAAAACAATAAAAAGCAATGGTCCCTGACCTTCTACAGTTTGTAATCTGACAATAGGAAGGTTAGTTTAGTACAAGAACCGATCAGTAAGGTCAATTGTAAGATTGCTTTTCTTGGTACTCTCTTCCAGAAGGTTTAAATGCATCCTAGATGGAGACAGATGACTGAGGTGACCCCTCACTGTCCCTCACCTAACAGAGGTGACTAATAAAAGTGGTGGTGGGGGACTCTATGCACAAAGTGCAACACATGTACTGTGGTTCTGCAATGCCAAACTCCACACCTGCTGGAGGTACAATTGAGCAGACAGTAATACAATGCAGTGGTTCAGTGTTTGGGCTCTGAATTTACAGTGCCTAGGATTAAATCCTGCACACCCCCACTTACAGCTTGCCTTGGACAGGTTCCTTGACTCTCCACATCTATGTTCTCATATATAAAATGGGTATAATAATAGTATGTAACTTGCAGTGTTGTGACTATCATATTAAATATTGTGTGTACAGCTTACAAACCAGTTAGCACAATGTCTAGTATACAGTAAGAGCTCAAAAAGTCTATCTTTATTATTATTGTTATTACTGTCATAACAGAGAAGGACCCTTAGAGATTATTTTTTATCCAAATGCTCCTTTTTGCAGGTGACAAAACTGAAGCCCAGGTAAGGGAAGTGGCATGGCCATGACCATTGCCATACACAAAGTGGGAAGTAGGCTTGAGGCAAAAACTTGACCTCTTGACCCCTTCAGCTTATGAGAAAATTCATATCAGCTGGCCGATGAGATAAAACCACGGAGACTTGAAGAGTTCCCAAAGCTGTCTGTCCCAAGAGCCCTTGCTCCTCCATTTCTGACCATGAATGTGAGCTGTATTTACTGGGCATTTACTGTGGGCCTGGCACTGGGCTAGGCATGAGTCCCATCCTGCCATCTTCTTAAGCCTGGGATCTCTGAGAAAGCTAGGAAGCCCAGGAGAGACAGGAGAAGTTCAATAGGTTTCCAATATGCAATACAGTCTAACAGTGGTTTGCAAAGTAGAGTACTTGGAAGTCCAGGAGTCAGAAGCAATGGCAAACGTGGTGGGGGCTGACGTTTATACCCTCTGTACCCACACAGAACTGCAGTCAGGGCAACGCCAGCGTGATCTGTTTGAGATACGGATGGTCCATGTTTCATTTAGGTTGAAAAAAAAAACGTTTTAAAACCTTTGGCTTAAAAGTTTTACTGCTTAAAATGTGTTTAAATCCTAAATCCCTGCCCTATCCCCCGACAGACATACAGAAGCCCAGGAATGTTGCCCCCCATTCAAGGGTTCACAGCCACTCTGATGCAGAGTCCAAAATCAAACTGAGTTCTTCGACCTCTGAGCTACACGTGCATTCTGCTAGGACACTCCCCCCGGACCACCTCTGTCCCCTCCTCCGTGCGACACTGTCATGGCCACGTGGCAGAACCCTCCCAGCCCCAAGTCGCCGCCGCCACTGCGCCTGTGCCTGTCCAAGACTCGAACATTCTTTCTCTGTTTTTCTTTCCTTGAAAACAGATAGGGAGTTGGGAGCTGCTGTACAGGAATGTGCCTGTTCCCCATTATGGCTCTTCTGGGGCTGTAACCCGAGTGGGCTCGGCCCAGACCCCCACACATTTCTTTATTCACTCAGCCTCCAGCCTTGCTCTCATTACTATGTGCAGGAAAGGTCGATCTCGGTTCTGCTGAAGCCTCAGAACCAACCCAACAAAGCACAGAGCGACTGTTCTGGAGGCCCCTCCCGGACCCGGTTCTCTCCCCCTCCTCTTTCGTCGTCACCCTCGGTGATCCCTTTCCTCCTCAGGTTCCCTCTCCCTCACTCTCTCCCTCACCCTCTCGCTTTGGATTGAGTCGAGGTCACAGTCAAAGCTGGCCACATGAGCAAATTGGAAACAGGTTGGGAGAAAAGCAGCCGAGAAATTCCAAAATGGAAAGGGCGGGAGCAGCGAGTTATTATTTA